CCTCTCCTAAATGTTGAAAATGACTTCCCTCATTTTCCTCGCAGATGGCAGATGAAGGGTGGACCACCAGCTATTTCCTGAACAAGGATGGCTTCCCCAAGCTCTTGTATGCCACCATGGTCAGGCTAGGTATTTTGGATCACCCAGAATATGTAGGAAGGGAGTATGAGGAGTATGGCACTAAGAGGTGTGAGGTGATCATCTATGTTGGAGCAAGTAGGGATTTCCCTGACATAAATCCTTGGGTGGTGTCCACCATAGGGTTTCGGTTCGAGGACACTTACCAATCTATCGCTCACAAAGCTTTGAGGTACCTATGCCAGATTTTTGAGAAGCCAATATGTCATACACCCATGAGATTCTTCCCCCCTTTTGTAAAGAACAGCCCTATGTGGGTAGCCCGAATGAAGACCCTAGAAGGCCCTGAACTTCATGAACGTGATCCAACTACAATTTTCATGTCTGACTACTTGCTTTCCTTGGATAAGCAGTATGATAGGCAGGCTAAGCATTTGAGGAAGTGCATTCGTAGGGCACAGAAGGCAGAGAAGCAGATTAGAGAGCTCCAAGTGCAGCTTGCGAATGCTAAGGTGCAGGCCACTGAGGCGGAGAACCATGAGGCAGTAGCAATTGAAGCCTTCAAACAAGCCGAAGACCGACACACTCAACAACTAAAGAATATCTATCTTGTCAATAGGGCCAGGAGAAGGATTGTCACTTTGGAAGATAGAGAGTGTCCAATACTAGATGGAATCCCAATTGCAACCATGGAAGAAATCCAAGGGGAAATAGTGGACACACCGCCTGCACCTCCCCCATCCGAGGCCTCCCATGGAATTCCTGAGATAGAGTCACCAGATGGAGAAGAGATTCTCCCACTCACTCAGCCACCACCAGGAGATGGTGCATGTGCTCATGCCGTCTTCTCAGAGGATGCCTCAAGCTCCGAGGCATGATCTAAGTGGCCACATGGCCCTCTCAGGGAATGAGGCTAATATGGTCCGAAGCTAGACCCATGAAAGTGGTTTTAGCGATGCGCCCTTACGCCTAAGGGGAGTGAATCATGATTTACTTTTTTGTAAACCCTCGCGAGAGGAGATGTACCCGTATTGTAGTGTTTGGTCTTTCCATCTACAATGTAATCCCCATCTACTGTTGTGCTTTGAATTAGTAGTTCTAGCTAGGTTCGTTTACACCCTCGCGTGAGGAGATGTACCCGTATTGTAGTGTTTGCTTTTTCCACCTACAATGTAATCTCGACCCAGTGTTGTGCTTTGAATTAATATTTCTAACTAGGTTCGCTTACGGCTAAGGGTGGTGAATCCTAATTCACTTCTTTGTAAACCCTTGCGTGAGGTGATGTACTTGTATTGCAGTGCTTGCTTTTTCCAACTATGGTGTAATATAATCTTACCATGTGCCATCCTAATCACTCCAGTAAATGTTTCATTGCGCCAGCATGCCATTGATTTTATTAACAAATACTAGCTTCCTTTGATGTATTTTTCCAAGATTCAATGTATCAAATAGGCCCTTCCATATAACATATAATGGAAAAGACATCTTATCTTTTACTAACATGTTTTTCCAAGGTTCGGTATACCAAACAGACCACCCGCAGCGAAGCGCGGGCATCAGTGGCTAGCTATCATTATCGTTCTCGTCTTAGCAGCCATCGTTATTCTATTCATGCAAGGACAAGGAATCCCAATTGTGAAATCCGCTGTATAATCTATCTTCTCGTATTATAATATGTGAAATTATAAAAACTGTCTCACGTCAGCTTCTGCCAACTTGGACAATTTGATCAACCATCATGCATCATTTTTGAATGATGATTGACTTGTACAATAGCATGCCACTATATATTGGAGATTAGTACTAAACACAAGTTGACGATCTCTTAGCATTACAAGGAAACAAAACTAATTTCAGTACAAAACCGATGGAGAAATACAAACTACTGACATGAAAATTGAAAAAAGAATGGGATCCCATAAATTGAAATCAATACTTAGAAACTGCTTTCCATTTCATTGTTGGATTACTTTCCAATTCCTTTCAATTTTCTGAGAACCAAATAGTGCCTAACAACAGGAAATAACAAACCGACCAAATTGTTGTCGGTCCACCATAAAAAAAGTTCCATGGTACTTACCGACAGAGAAATTGTTGTTAATTAGATCTAGGTTTTTACTCCTGTCGCACGAAAGAAATTATATGCTTCTACCCTAAAAAGAACCCATTATTGCCCTGTGAGTACAGTACCATAAAAAAGATCAATCGCCCGTCTTTGCTTAGTACAGTAACGTCAAAAAGGGCGTTTTATTTCTGTCTTTCCATGTACCGTCAGAGAATCTATTAACTGATAGGAAAATTAAAATCTATAAATTACTATATTTTTTTTTCTAAAAGATCCAGATTGACTACCGGCATATATTAGTAAGTAGAGATTGGACAAGCGCTAGATGTGCCAACACAAAATGGTTTCAGATAATTCATTTGTTCGTAAAATACGTCAATTCATTTAACAGATGACATCTCAAGCATATAACACTGTATTTCTAAATGGAATCCACACTTGATGTCGGAATGGGATCAGGTAGATCTATCATTACATATATTATACAAATATGATATCTACATGTTCAACATGTATAATACAACTAGTGCAACAAAATATGGATATCGACAAGAAAAGAAACTATTTTTCTTGTTGAGTTAATAGCAGTGAAATGCTTCACCCATCCGTTGACTACCTGAATACTCAAGAAAACAAAGATTAAGCGCAAGGATACATTTAAAAAGACAGAATGAGTAGTACGAAATGGTTAAACTGAGTGGATATAAGACGAAAGAGTGCATGTGAAACAGTGAATTCTATATCCATAACCACATCAGAGATGCACTGTGTTAGTTTCAGCCAAACAGATAGCTAGATACACAAGACGGTAGGTTAAAAAAAATACACAAGACGGTGGGGTAGATACACATTGTTAATTAGTTTTAGTCAAAAGTATCGGTCCCCTTTCGGTTGTCGATATGATACGCATTTCTTTATGGCGCATGCTTGTGTTTGTGTAGCGATTTTAGTATAAGCAGCACGCGAATGCACGACTCCGACTCAACAAGGGGCCCTTGGTTAGCTCTCAATCTTTTCATTGGTGTCCTTGCCCACCTCTCTATTATTATGGTCCCGGCCGGCCGCCCTCTGCATCGATCACGTATGCACATCAATACATGTATCACGGTGATGATGGCAGTCTGGCTGATATTTCATAGGTCCACACATGCATGATGCATGCATCCCACGCCCTAGCTAAGCTAACTTGCATGATGCATGCGTGGCATAAGTTAACTTGCTATAGCTGAGAACTGCTGCAAACTGTCTGGTTGAGTTTCTTTTACAGTGAACCTACGCATTCAGATGGTTGCTAGTAAATTTTTATTTATTTCAAGTTTGTGGACAAAGATTTAAATACTTTATATAGCATTTTTTGATTTATGGCATGAGATTAAAGGAAGTTTGTTCAACTCATCAAGATCTACAATTGTTGTTTTGTTGTTCTTTTAGAATAGTAGGTGATGTCATCAAGATCTACAATTGTTGTTTTGGTCAACTTTCCATTTGAGATATCAACATCAAGGCGTTTGTTGTGACTTCGTTAATCTTGTGATTAGACTCTCGAATGTGCTCACAGAGGTAGAGTGTTTGCGTGCGTTCATATATAGCGTGAGTGTGCGCGTACGTACATATATAGGGTGAGTGTGCGTGTATGTATGAGTGTCTACTGTGATTCGCAAAAATTAAATATTAATAACTTGCTAGCTTATGTGTTGCCATGTCATTAAGAGATAACATATGAGACATATTCTTCAATGAGTCTAGCTCTTAACATTTTATCATGGGTATCAGATCCTATCTTTCTCTAGCCTTTACCTCCATCCTCGTCCTCTAGGTAGTGTGCTTGATTGGCGACAGGTCATAAATTTGGCCGTTCATGTGCTTCCAACAGTATCCTATTGGTTCTTACGTACTCAAGACATTTTATCTGTCATCTAGAGAAAAATAAGCTTGGCAAACCTGCTTAATTAACTTGTGGACCCTTTTGTTGGTTGGCCTCGCAGAAATTGTTCACAAGCTTGAAAGTTAGGGAGCTAGGACTACTACCAACCAAAATAAATTCGTACTCTATGAATCATGACAGATCACAGATGACACGTCCTTTTTAGTTAGCACATGGACACATGGTACATGCATCGTTCCATCAATTCCGTTTTACGTCCTCGAGTACACATCGATTGATGGACGTCGTTTTACGTCCTCGAGCTCGAGCACACCAGTCTCACTACGCAAATGCAATAATCACTATAAAAAGGGTATGTTTGATTCAGTTGTGACTTGTGAGCTGTGAAAATGTAGTTGTATGGTTGAAACCACTATAAAACATACTCTCTTTATCTCCCTTCAAACAGCCGTTAACACATCTATTTATTTCCACCCATTTGAAAAAGTAAAAAAATAAAGCCTAAATTGCTGTTAAAATTGTACCATGCGAAAACAGTTGCTTCTGAAAAAAGCAACTTATGATTCTGTCTGTTTGACTGAAGCTCTGCTTTTTAACAAAAAAAAAAAACACTTTTCAGAAACTAAATCAAACGCAGTCTAAGTAGATTGGACAGGTTGATTATTTGAACACTAGCAAGAGTGAAAGACAGCTTCATCGAGGATTCCCCGAGAATTTTAGCAATAACAAACTATCTTACTTACAGACAAGCAGGTTCACAAATGACATGTAATACTTTCAGCAGCCAATTATCATCCGGTACGACTTTTGTTCTCAACACCGACGCCATTTGGCAATTATTATCTACATACATACATCTATATTCATTAGACCAAAGTTTGTACTTACAACAATCCGGATTATACAATATAACACATCAAACAATAACCATCATCAAGCACCAATGTCATAACATATGCCATTGATCTGAATCTACCGCCCTGCGCGTTGCTGCTCCCACCTCAGGTCCTCAGAGTACTCCATCATGGCAGCTCTCGGATCACCTTCAGTAACAGATAAGTAGTACGCAGCAGTCCCATCGTCGACGTGCAGGCTCCGCCTCACCGACTCGAGAATCCTTTGGCTTCGCCTCTCTGCAGCAACAATGCTTGCCACGGATTCAGTTTTGCCACCTGGGCGTCCCTCAGGGTAAAAGATTGCAACCTCTCTCTTGGCATTATGGTCCATCTCGATGTAGCAGGTGCTGCCCATAAGGATTTCTGGGTTGCTGATCGGAATCAGAAGCCTCTCCCTCGAGTAGATGCCATGGTCACTCATCATGTTGTTGAATCGTTTGATATCTGTCATCTGCATGCAATTCAACAAGCATGAAATTGCAGTCTCATGAGGAATGGAGAGGGTCCTTTTATAGTAGATGACCCGTTGGACAACTTTTGGTAGGGTAAATGGTTTTTTATTGCAGTTGCATTAAGTATATGATTATGCTGAGTAATCCTGCAGTAGTCACTAAATAAAATGTCCATCCCTTCAATAGTGCAGTGCATCCAATAAACATTTTATTTTCGAAAAGCTTCAAACCAACACAATCCTGGGCATAAGCATGCTGTAAGCAGTGAGACCATGATAATTTAAAGACCAGTAGTGGTTGAGCAAAAAGAGATATTTCAAGACTCATCTGCTTTTCGAACTTGATATGTATAATAATACATAAAGCTGATAAAAACCTACTGAAGCACTATATTAGGAAACTCTAGCCTCATCGAACACAAAACAGATCCTAACAACAGGATGCCAGGTGTTAGGATATGACCTGGCATCCTGTTCTTAGTCTGTATGAAGTCTGATCTGTATGAACACAAAAGGCTTTTGATAATAAGAACTTTTATCCAAAACTTAACATCTGTATGAAGTCTGATCCCTCAACAGCAAGGTCAGATGCAGCAAGCTAAGTAGATTCCTACCTGATGTGAGCCTAACCACCTAAAATTCCATTTGGATAGATATTAAAAAAAACAGGGATAACCAAAAATCCAGTTAAAAAAAACAAAAATGATTCCTACCTTTTTTTAGAAACCAACTCCTGTACCTCATGTTCTGTGCCATGTGCTTCATTTTTCTTTCATCTTACGTCATGTGCTTAACAAAGTAAGCACCATAATCCATACTACTTCCCTAATGTCTAATGAATTGTTAAATTGGAAGAAAAGTGATCTGGTGCTATGTAATGGCATCAGAGAATATTTGTTTTAGTTTACGAAACCCAAACAAAGTAATCCATAAACCTGGACCTACCTAACTAACAACCTAAAACCAATTTTCCTAAAAATCCTAAAAAAAAAAACTGTTTTGTAAAAACAATCAAACATACACATAATCAATGTGTCCAAACAACCACCTAAGTGACTACCAGAAACTCATGACACTAGCTTCAAACACACCGTGACACAGTATAGCAGCTATAACTGCAGTTCTTAGTAGTTACAGTAGTGATGTCCAACCCACAGGCAGAAAACTTTCTTAATCTAATAAAACCCTATAGTTATTATTCCAGAGTAATGACATTACATTAAGAGACCAAAAAACCACGACCTACAACACTAGGAGTAATTGCAAGCACCCAGAAACCCAGCGGTGAGCACAAGACTCCTTACAGCCACAGTGACCATACTCGATGCTGAATATGATATAGGTCCCTCTCTCTTCCCATCCTAGCTCAACAACACCATTAACAATGACATAGCAAACTTCCCGTGCTCCAACCCCATTGCTTCATTCCTTCCAATCAATCATGGCTATATTTATCTGCCACATAAAACTCCTGACCACTACTGCCATATCAACAAATCCCAATTGGCGCACCTCTTCATTTACTTCAAAGTACAAAAGTTATCGGCAGCATGAAAAACAATGTACTCTACACAAGTGTGAAGAAGGCATCAAAATGACAGATCTCAAACTACACAGATGCACTAACATCGTTCCAAACTATAGTTAGCTTCAGCCTCAGCCTTGTCCTAAGTCAAACTTCTAAACTTTGACCAAGTTGATAGAAAAATGCATCAACATCAAATTAGTTTCATTAAATTATCCATGAAATATGTGTTGAACTCTTCATGGTGCATTCATTTGAACTTGTGGATGTTAAAGTTGTTAACTAATTTTGACTCAAGACAGGGCGAAAATGAACTATAATTTGGAACAAAGAAAGTAAGTATTTGATTGACTGATAAGCCATGGCTGAAAGTACTGTTGGCTGATTTGTTGTGAGAGAAAAATACTGTTCGTTGGTTAAAAAAGTACGGCTTATAAGCCAAGCGAACAGGGCGCTCCAACGAATTATTAACAGTTTGGCGGATGTTCTTACACGCTTGATTGATCATAAGTTGGCGGATGTTCTTACACGCTTTGTGCGTACCTACGAATTATTAACAGTTTGTTCATTTCCTTCTAGGATACTTGTTCAACAAGCACTGATGACCAACTGGTGATTAATTTTGAGTTTTTGACTAGCTCCATCTTTCTATGATGACAAGAACGAGCCCCTCACATCCCTGATGTGGAAGTACCCCAGATTATCTACTCCCATTTCCATATACCCTCTCTAAGGTTCAGTCCGAATTAATGCTGCGACGGAGTACATACAATACAAGCGATCAAATCTTAATGCATATGATCTGCTGCCACAGAATATTTAGGGGCGATCAAAACCAGATCCATGTGAGGATTATAGGCGCTTCAAGTTGGATATCACCTCAGCAAACAACAGGTCGATCGCCACATCGTTGGAACATAGAGCGCGAACGATACAGAACACGCACCTGCACGGAGTACTTCAGAGCGACGCCGGGGACAGTATCCCCGCGGCGGACGGCATGCGACAGCGCGAATCTCCCGAGGGAGGCGGCTCGCCAGAAGGCCCCCGTCGCCGGCTCGCCGACGACGCGCCGCACGCCCCAGGGCGCGCAGAAGGCGGCCTCGAGCACGGCGCGGTCGGAGGCAACCGCGCGCCACGCGCGGCAGACGCAGGCGGACCGCGCGAGGTCGATCGGCGGCAGCCTCTGCAGCACGGCGCGAAGCAGGTCCGCCGGGAGGCACGCGTCCATCGCTCCCGCGGCCGGATCGGCCTCGGGGATCGGCGGATCGGCCGGGGAGGAGGCGTCGGGACCCCCGCCTGCGCCGTCTACGGCGCGCGAGTCCATGGCTTTGAGAGACTCGTGCTGTGGCTGGCGTTGGGGACGCGTGGATGGAGTCGGGTGACGAAATGGGAGGTCGGACGTCGGAGGCGGACTCGAGCGGTCGGGCCGTGTGGACCGTGTGGTGTCGGAGAGCTGCCTAGCCACTGCGTGGTGTCGCGGGCTCGGCTCCTCTTCCTCCTCGCGGTTGGATTTGGGCTCATTTGGTCCATCCAAATTTTAAGTGGTCCTGGACGGGCATTTTATTCCACATGGGCTCATTTGCTCCATCCAAATTCCACATGGGCCTGGCCGTCTTCACCCTTCAACACCGGAGCTTCTAGGCCCGACCGACCGCCGCAATCCGACGAGCGAGAGAGAGAGTCACGAATCCCGATAGAGCGCCGCCCCCACCCGCCGAGCCGGCCCCGCTCGCCGCCGCCCCGAGCAGAGAGAGAAGCGAGGAGAGAAGGAAGCATGACGACGATCCGCCGGTTCTGCTGCGACGACCTCCTCCGCTTCGCCTCCGTCAACCTGGACCACCTCACCGAAACGGTGCGCCACCGACGCGTCTCCCCTCTCTTTCCTTTATACGAGCGCATCCCCTCTCTGATCTCACGATTCGGTCGCCGCAGTTCAACATGTCGTTCTACATGACGTACCTGGCGCGCTGGCCCGACTACTTCCACGCCGCCGTCAACCCTGGCGGCCGCGTCATGGGTTACAGTATGTCTCTCGTACCCTTGCATCTTTGCTTGTGTGGGCGTCCCGGTCCTCTCATATATTCGCGGCTAATTGTGTGCTGCTAGTGCGTCTGCATCTTTGCTTGGAAAAAATAACTGAAAATGTAGAGTGCAAACCCTGGATGCTAAGAGTGTTCAGACATGAGTGGTGTAAAGGCACTGGATTATTTTCTTCTGCAATGTTTTTTATGCATTACGCAATTAGTCATATGTAGATGTAGATGCTGCCTGGTGCAATCCATGGTTTGTGTTCTCCAAGTAGGCATTGTTTTAGGAGTGCAAAGTGCACTTGTAAGATGCTGGGATTTGAGATGTTGGTTCATAAAAGGAGTGTTTGAAGTCTGAAATGGCTGGTGAAGGTAGCAATAGGATGACTGGTTACCTCACTGTTGCCTCTGTTGGTTTTAATCTAGAATGGTGAGCATCAAATTTAGAGCTTTATCTTATGCCCTTCTGAAGCATAGAATTCAATAGTATTCCGCATGTTCCATTTCTTTCTTTCGCCTTTGTTTAGTTTAGGGGAAGTAAGCTAGAAATCTTTTGCAGTCATGGGTAAAGTTGAAGGGCAAGGTGAGTCTTGGCATGGACACGTCACAGCAGTGTCTGTTGCCTCTGAATTTCGGAGACAAAAATTAGCCAAGAAGCTTATGAACTTACTTGAGGAAATCAGCGATAAGATGTAAGTAACATCTTTTTGTTTCTCGTTCTGATTTAGTCCCTATGATATCTTTTTTCCCCTTTATTATGGATACAGAGTTCTTGTGCTATTATTGGATCTTCACAATGTATGATTGTTGTAATCTTAATTGTTGTTTGTTGAGTTTATAGTTCATGACATGCTAATAGTTCACATAATCTGTTCTTCTCTCCAGATATTTCATATTCTTTTCCTATCTTAATGCTCTGGCAATCTTAAGGAAAAATCCCATTATCTTGGATTCACACTTTATCCATCAGAAAATTAATTATGGTTCATGCTTCTATTTCTTGGTTCCAGATTTTGCTAACTAGATCAAGGAACATTTCTCCCCTTATCCAACTTATTTCAAGTTATGCATATGTGAGGGCTGATCGGTAGTTACTAGTTAAGAACAAGGTGTCATTCCTCGCAGGGCATATAGAGTGGTATAAGAGCATAGTACCCTCCCATTCTCACATTTGCATTGAAGGGGATAACTGAATTCATGACATATCATCCCCTCTGTGCCCTAGTCTGGTTACATTTTTCCCCACGTAAGCTACCATGTTTACTTGTCAACCTGATAATAGGCACTGAATATCTGCTATGTTCAACCCACTTACCCACATTAGTGTTATCATGTTGGATAGATGTGATGGTTCTTGAAGTCATACATATTATCAGTTGCATTACTTCACATATATTTATAACCAAGTTTTCCTATTCAGGGATAAGGCCTACTTTGTGGATCTCTTTGTAAGAGCATCTAACATGCCAGCGATAAGGATGTACGAAAAGGTAATAGTGTGTACAAATTTCAGGATCTGCCAATACTCCATTCTGCTGCTCCGAACAGAACTTTTTAATATTCATCAATGTCAACCAGTGAAACCAAGTTTTTGATTAAACATTAATTTAGTGAGTGAACTTGCCTAATTATACTCCTTTATTTTTGATAGCTTGGTTATGTGGTTTATCGAAGGGTGCTCCGGTACTACTCAGGGGAAGAAGATGGCCTTGGTAAGCATTTGCAGTGCCAAATCTCAAGGCATACATATTCCAAATTTGTTGCTTATTATGGTGCACTTCTGCCTGTATATGTTTTTGCTCCAGATATGAGAAAAGCATTATCACAAGATGTTGAGAAGAAGTCCATCATACCACTCAAGAGGCCAATTACGCCTGATGAACTTGAATATGATTGATGTTAAAACTTCACTACCTGGTCCTTAAGTTGAAAGCTCCGGTGTGGAATTTGACAGGCTTTGAATATCTGGTAATGTCATTAGTTCAGTGTATTGTTCTCCTTTTCGTACCTGTTAGGGGACAGGTTTTCAAGGTGAATTCTGCTGTTTTTTATTTTGAGAATAGCAAGAACTATGTCTTGGCATGGAATCAAATTTCTTTGTTCTGAGGTCGCACCCATTTTTATCCTGTGATGCTATTTGTTGTGTGATTTGATGTGTGATGTGTTTTTATACAGCTTGCACAGTACAAGTTACATTTGACCCATGCTAAGCGGTGATAGGCGAGTTGCACTGCAATTAGAGTCTGGCGCGGGCCCAAACAAAAAATAAATCTCTATTCCCTCGTGCTTATCTGTCCGTCCCTCCTGAGCCCGCACCCAACTTCTTCGTGCTTATTCGCCCGGTCCCAAAACAGCGTGACTGTTCATCCGTCCGCCCCCTTCTCCAGCGCGCTCATTGGGCTGCCGCGCCGTTTCCTTTTCCTGTCATCGGCCGCACCACGCGCCCTCGCTCCCTGCATTGCTCGGTGTGGCTGCGCATCCGCCCGCCCCTTCCCTAGCGCGCGCTCGTCAGACTGTCGCGCCGTGCCCTTCCCCAATCACCAGCCGCACTACGCGCCCTCGCTCCCTGCGTCGCTCACTGCGTGGCAGTCACCTGCGTCGCTCGCTCCCTCGTCGTTAAGTCCATCGTCCATCACCGTTGGGCGCGCCGCTGACCCCGCCATGGCCGCTGGGGCACACGTGTCATGGCGCCTCAGGTCTTCCCAGGCCGAGCCAAGGGCACCCACAAGCATGAGCGGTGCTGGTGGTGCTCATGCGCCACGGCTCGCCGCCGGCTCCCGCCCCGATGGCCGGAATGGACTGACCCGGCCTTCTCTCCCCTACATTGCATACGTATGTTTCAAGTGTTTCAGATATATGCTGCAATTATTTCATTTTGATGTTACAAAAGTAGATCGGATGATGTTGCACATGTCGCATATGTTGCAAGTGTTTCATAGGTCTGTTGCAAGCGTTTGTTGAAAATGTTTCATATGTTTCCAGACATATGTTGCAATACTTTTTATGTGGATGTTGCATGTGTTTCACACATATGTTGCAACAGTATGTTCCAAATGTTTCAGTTGTTTTAGTCTTATGTTGCAACAAATGGTTTCATGTTGCAAGTTGCAAATCTGGATGTTTCGTGTGTTTCACATATATGTTGCAAGTGTGTGTTCCAAATGTTTCATCTACTTTCAAACGTATGTTGCACTCAAATGTTTTTCATGTTGCAAGTGTTTTATGCTATAAGGCCAGGGCGAGCCGCGCGGCGCGCCGAGGGGGCCAGTGGATGGTGGTGCTACGGTCGGGGCGCACTGGGGCGTGCTCGTCCTCAGCTGCTCATCCCGGCTCCTGAGTGTTGCCCGCGTGGGAGAGAGGAGGGGGTCAGGGGCGACCGGCGGGTGCAGAGACAGGGCGAAGTGCGCACGTGGGGCGGAGCGAAGGCGGACGGGGGCGGGCTGTGCGGGCGTCTGGGCGCTAGCCACGCATGTAAAGTAATAGTCGAGGAAGAGGAGACCAAACTGGAAGTGGAAACCTCCAGAGAAAAGTGCGGTGACCAACACTGACGCTGCTTTTGATGCAAGCAGCAATACATTGCGCAAGAGATCATGTGCGTGTTGGTTCGCAGGTGCCGGAAAGATTGCCGATGCTAGCACAAAAGAGTTATTGGAAGTTCCAGGTCTCAGGATGTAGGATCGACGAGGCTAGATATGCAGACTCGACTTTAAAGGGTTCATTCAGCAATGCTTCAACTTATTTGGACATTGGAGTTTCAAACAAATTAAAAAAAAAAATCAGAGCATTCGGTGCTTCTTTTCTTCAAAATTCTTGCCCAAATTTGGCCACTCAAGTTTTTGGAAAGATATGCTTAAATTAGGTGACCAGTAAAAATAACAAATGCAAAGGGCAATTTGGACAGATGCTTCCTGAAGCTGATTTGAACTCATTTAGCAAAGGATGACAAATTCTACACCCTCCACGATAAACCTGTTTTATTAGTAACCAAAGCAATTACATTATTGAACTAAGTGAGGGATCTCTGAATCAAGACGAGTAATTATTTGTATATGAGGGCGTCACGTCCAGGCCCGACACCAATGTAGTGGACTGGAATGCCGACCAGTTCCTCTATCCTCTCCACATAGCGACGAGCAGTTTCTGGGAGATCACTGTAGTCTCGTATTGAGGAAATGTCTTCCTCCCATCCAGGTAGGGCCTCATATTTGACCTACACAACCAGAGACCACAGGAATTGTTGTCAAGAGAAACAAGACCCAAATTAAGTGCCATGCCGGAGACCGCTTTGATTTTGTTG